TTGGCCTTGTTGAACCTTGTACAGTTGACCTTGGCCCGTTGATCCAACCTGTCCAGATCCCTCTGTAGAGCCTCCCTACTCTCCAACAGATTAACACCCCCACCCACCTTGGTGTTGTCTGCAAACTTACTGAGGGTGCCCTCAATCCCCTTGTCCAGATCATTGGTAAAGATGTTAAACAGGACTGGCCCCAACACTGATCCCTGGGGATCACCACTCGGGACCAGCTGCCAACTGGATTTAACTCCACTCACCACAACTCTTTGGGCCCAGCCATCCAGCCAGGTTTCCACCCAGCAGAGTGTCCCTGTCCAGGCCACGTGCAGCCTCTGCACCCTCTGAGCTGGGCACTGCGGGTGTCTTTGCTTTGGAGGTGGTTTTGGCTTAGTCCTGGCTCTGGTGACCGTAGTGCTCAGTCAGTTGCATCACGTAGGTGGGATTTGGAAAATCGCGGCCCCCGGTGCTGTTACGTCGTTGTTGTGATTGGCCACTGGGCTGCAGCTCTGCAGGGTGCTGGGATCGTGCACCGCTCAGAGAGAGGAGCTGGGGACCTGCCTGAGGGGCCCCTTCGGGCCGAGCTCCTCCCCGCACCCAGGGGCTGTGATGGGTCCCCCTGGGGCTGGGCCCTGTGGGGCTGGGCTGGGTCTCAGCAGAAGGAGGCCAGGGAAGTCCAGGGTGGTCAGGGGGGGCAATGGGCCAACCTTCCCGTAGGCTCATGCAGATGTGTGGCCCCAAGGGGACCCCCCACCAGCCCCAGGGGCAGCCCTGGGTTTCCTGAGGGATCTCAGGACGGGAGGTCAGCAGGAGCAGCTGGTGGTGGAGGAGCTGCTGCCAGGGGCCAGCACCAGCAATGGGGTTGAGTTGAGCTTTCTTAGGCAACTGGGTGTTGTTGTCACCACCTCAGCGCATCCCTTTGAGCCAGTGGCCTCAGGGGCCTCTATGCCCCGCAGGTTCCTGGGGTTACTGGTGTAAGCGCAGCCTCGGGGCAGTTTGGTCCTGGAATTCTGGGGCTCGTGCTCATATTTGATAAGGACCGAGTGGCAGCGTGGCTGTCGAGCTTTGTCTTATTCCTACAGTCTCTGCCATGTGTAGCCCACACTGGCTCTCTAAAGCCTCAAGTTGTGCTTTACTGGCACCACTACCACACTCTGGGATTTATCCCAGCAAAGAACCGGTCCCAGTAAGCGCGTGGCACCACCTCCGTGCCCGCTCGTGGTGCTGCCGTCAGCGCGTGGCTGCTCACCCGAGCAGGGGCTCATCTTCCCCATGGAACATGTCTGGCTAAAAGCCCGTCAGGCTGCGCGGGGGGCACAGATCCACCCTCCCCCCCCTCCCCCATCACGCTGCTCTTCAGACACCTGCTGTTGTCACTCCCTGTGTGTCAGGTCCAGCTTTACGAGGTGGTCTTGGTTCCACCAGGCACAGGTTCCCCGGGGCTGTGAGTGAGGAGCTGAGGGCAGGCGCAGGAGCCCAGGCGCTGGGTGCTGTTGGCAGCTCTCTGGTGGGGCAGCAGGAACACACCCCTCTCCCCAACCCCACAGGGAGCCCCAGCGTGATGGGGGGCAGATGCCTCAGCTTGTGAAGGAGAAGGAAAAGCAATTCCCAACTCATCCTCTGCCTTCTGCCACACCCAGGGGTGCAGGAGCCAAGAAGTCCCAGTTTTGCTGCTCCCCTCCCATCACAGGCCCCGTAGGGTCACCCCTCCCAGGCAGAGGACCAGCTCCCCCTGTCCCTGATGCCACGTGGGACCTGTGACAGCTCATCAGGAGCCTGGCAAGGACTGGTGTGGCACAGGGCCACGGCCTTCTTCAGCTGCTCCAGCCCTGAATATGCTGACACCCAGCCCACCATGGGACAGAGCGACCTGCACATCCCCGACCAGTGCTGGTGGGGTCCCATCCTGGGGCACCAGCTGGTTCCTGGGCAGGAGGAGCAGGAATTGGGTTAAGGCTGCCCCTGAGTTGCTGGGAACAGGGAAAAGAAGGAGAAGAGAAAAATTACAAATTTTAATAAGGAAATGTGTGCAGTGATGGAGAAAGGGCTGAGGTCCTGCCAGAGGGAGCAGACCCAGGCTGCACTAGTCCTCCACCACCTCCAAGCCCAGGATCTTCTTGACGTAGTTCTGGACGTTGACGTGGAGCTGGGGGGCTGTAGCTGAGAAGGTCTCCATGGCCAGAGCCCGGGCTGCCTCCGAGCCGCCCCACATGGCACGATAGAGGGGCAGCGTGTACTTCTGCTTCCCCTGCAGAGACAGAGCGGGGGTTACACCCCAACCACCTCCCCAGCTCCAGCAGGGTGAAGCCCCAGGAGCCCCACATCCCCCCAGGGCACAACACCTCCAGTAGCACCCTGCTCATGGTGATGAGAGCAGAGAGGAACAGGACAGGGTGGAAAATGCTGCCTCGGGCAGCCCTTAGCACTGCGGTGCTGGGGAAGAGAGGAGACCTTGACCTTGGAGAAGGAGAAGGCCCATAAGAAGCTCAAGTTCAACAAGGCCAAGGGTAAGGTCCTGCACCTGGGTCAGGGCAACCTCCACTATCCGAACAGCCTGGGGGATGGATGGATGGAGAGCAGCCTTGCAGAGAAGGACTTGGGGATGCTGGTGGGTGACAGATTGGACATGAGCTGACAATGTGCACTTGCAGCCCAGAAAGCCAACTGTATCCTGGGCTGCATCACCAGCAGCATGGCCAGGAGGTTGAGGGGAGGGGATTCTGCCCCTCTACTCCACTCTGGTGAGTCCAGAGCTCTACTCTACTCCCTCCCCACCTGCAGTGCTGGAGCCAGTGCTGGGGCCATCAATACAGGAAAGACATGGACCTACTGGAGTGAGTCCAGAGGGGGCCATGAAAATGGTCAGAGGGATGGAACAGCTGCTGTGAGGAAAGGCTGAGAGAGCTGGAGTTGTTCAGCCTGGAGAAGGTTCCAGGGAGACCTTACTGTGGCCTTTTCATATATAAAGGGAGCTTGTAAGAAAGATGGAGCGAGGGTTTTTACCAAGACCTGGAGTGACAGGACAAGGGGTGAGGGTTTTACACTGACGGGGAGACAGGTGTAGATTGGACATGAGGAAGAAATGTACAGTGAGAGTGGTGAGATGCTGAATAGGTTTCCCAGGGAGGTGGTAGATACCTTCTCCTTGGAAACATTCAAGGTCAGGTTGGACGGGGCTCTGAGCAACCTGATCTGGTTGAAGATGTCCCTGCTCACTGCAGGGGGGTTGGACTAGATGATCTTTGAAGGTCCCTCCCAACCCAAACCATTCTGTGGGTCTATCAAGAGCAAAAGCCAACCCCTGGTCCTCTGGCACAGAAGGTCCCATCCCCGATGGCACGCTGCTGGGCACAGCTGCTGCTGCCCAGGGACAAACCTGGCTGTGGAGGAAGTCCTTGACCTTGCTGTACTCGGCCTCGAGGTTGTTCTTGAGGACGATCTGGCACCAGCGGAGTCGCAGCTCAGCATTCTGGGCCTTGGAGATCTTTGGGTACATCTTGCTCAGCCTCTCCACATTGCCTGCAAGAGGGGGATTGTCACCGTCCCTGCAGGGGCTCTGCCTCCAGCCCCTGCTCCGAGGGGACCCTGTGAGCCCAC